ATAAGATAATTTCCTGTTGGTGCTAAAACTACAAAGCACAGTGTCCTTCCTTCTGGCTTTACGCTCAGACAATACACTGAACAAACTGTGAAGATGGATGTAATTCACTGCGTGTGGTCAGTGATTTCTTCCTGTGTCTGACTCACACATGAACAGTAAAGCAACATCGGCTAGTTATCCGTCCTTTCGGAACAACTTACGTCACAGATCGTACCTCTTCACACCTCAAACTTTTATGCAGGTGTGGCAGAAGTCAGAGAGGGCAGTGTGAGGGATAAAGAGCAGAGGGATAAACAAGAAAGACTGTACAAATGGTGAAGGCTGTTGGGGGTAAGTGTAAACTCGAGAACAGGCACTTCTACTTAACTCTTCTGCCCTCACTTCTAAAACGCCCCCACTTGTTACGCTCACTTTCAAATGTGAAATTATGACCGTCTGTGAAACCATCGTGATGGGTTTGCAACTCCCATGAGTCACCACTAAGTGGAGCTGCGGCCTTTTGTTTTCAGCTGCAGGGTGGATCGTGGCAATATTGCATAACCTTCAGACTTGCCACCAAAGTGTTAAGTGGTACTGAGGGAGAGGTGGAGATCGAGCTAAGTGCTTTTAACAGTGATGAAAGACTCAGCAAAACCAAGAGTAGCTTGTCATGTTGTTGCAGGAGAAAATCAATGTTTACTTTCTCTTGTGCAGTATTTTTCTTTAAATCTTTACTAGTAGGGTTATTTGATTTATTAGTATGTGTTTGTGCTGTGCCTATAATGTTTGAAAACTTTCATATTAGTCACATGAATGTATTTAATGGACAGACACTGTAGGATATAAGCTACATGTAGGCACGTCACAATTAGAAATTTAGTAGTTAATTCCATTACCAATGAAATTCCACAATTCTTGATACCCAATTCGATACCAGAGTAAAAAACAAAATGATACCTCCCATGTGCTTTAACATGCATTGCTTTACTAAAAACGTTTAAATGTAATTTAATTTAAATATTATCAATCTCTAATAATTCGCCTGGAACGCAAAGTACTAGTCTATGTGGGTTTATGAGATTTTGTGGGCGATGTGGGCATACATTAATATATAGCCTGCAGTATATATTCTTCCTTAATTGTTGTTGTTCAGCACTTGTACATGTAAAATGTGACGGATGCTCTTTGTTGTAGGTTATCTGTCCCGCCCCTCCTCCACTGTGATTGGATGGCTGGGTAAAATGTGACAGTAACGAGCATAGCGTTTAAGCAAAGTTAAACCTTTCCTAGCTATCGGTGGCCAGAAAAAAAACACCAAACATGCAGCACTCCGCGCATGATAGATGCTTCGCACCCTGTCACGCTGTTGGGATTTGTAACAGAGTGTAAATATGCAGCACTCCCTTTGCAAAGAATTAAAAACTTATGCTGGCCCTTGGAAAAACGCTTCTTTTTTCAACAAGTTGACGCGAAGCTATCACTGCAGCAGCACTTGTCACCATATTCAACGTGTTCTTCTTCTTTTGTGCTGGTAGGCGTTCTCCTTCTGCCTTTGGCATTAAATGACAGATGAGAACTCTTTGCAGGTGTTTATGCTGCCCCGTCAGGTCTGAAAGACTTGCATCCCTGGTACCTATGTTATCTACGATGCTTGAGAATAATGAGTACAGACGTATTGCAGAAACTTTGGCATCAACCTGATACCAAAGGAATGGTTTTCCTGACATCCCTAGCTGAACTTGAGTAAAAAGAGAACTGTATCTCTTGTGTGTGATACGGGCAAAAATAATGATGTTACTGAAAGACTCAATCTCCGTGCGTAAAAAGTATCTACAGGGCTAAGGATATAGATGAATGAGTGCTAATCCTCTTCATATCCTTGACTTAAAGGTCGAGTCAGTAATTCTGGAAAGTCTTTTTCAATATTGATGATATTTGATATTTGAACTCAGCTCCCAAACAAATACAACCCTCCTGTCAGTGCTCCTTCAGAAGCTCCACTAAAATCCCCACCGTGGATGTGGCGGAGGGAGAGTAGCCAGAATAGTGTTGTGTTACTCAGTCTGAGCCACTTTGTTTGTTTCCCATTTAGAGAGCCAGGGCTATATACAAACACCAGATTTTTATTGTCAGCACTCACACAAATGGACAGCTAGTGGACCATGAGGAGATATTCACTGATGTGACAAAGAGTGTAGTGGATTAGAATTGCTGACTGCCTTTAATGAAAAGAATGAATTCTGAGCTAAACCTCACAATTAAAGGATAGCACGTTTTTGGACCAAACAGTTCTAGGGACTCACTGAGAGGAAATGCCCACTGGGGCTGAGAATTACATAGCTTCAAGGGCTTTTTTTCCTGTTTGCATTTGCTTCGCCAATAGGAATGCTGAAGTGACAGAAGCTGGCTATTGCTGTAAGCTGTAAGGACTCTGTAAGAATTCAGACTTACTGGTACGTGCTCCGCCGGATAAGCTACTGGGACACCCTGCTGCAATCCATTGTACTTCAAAATCGTGTTGTATTTCCCTCATTGCATAAAGACTGGACTTTACTGTTGGTTCAGTTTTTTTTTTTTTTTACGAGTTGTATGGGTTTTGTTTTTTCTGTTGTTTACTTGGCTAATTGGTTTTTAAAAATGGCGGTTACCAGTGCTGCATTGGCTCATGTGTTCGACCAATCAAGGTACACTTACATCACTCAAGCCTCCCTTTTGTGCTGGGAGAATAGGAAAGTCATTCAAAACGGCTATCTAAGCACTACGCTTGTTGCTAGTTCTTGTGGAGTGGAAACAAAAAAAGGAGGGTTCTTGGAACAATGAAAAAGTTCCTCCAGTCTGATTACACCTGGTGATGCAGTGAACCTCTGACAAAGCCGTTATTTCGCCTCGTTGTTCTGTATAAAAGGTACAAACACGGAATGGGGAGACAGAGTTGTCTTGCCTTTAAGCCCAACCTGGTCTCACTCTGAAGTCATCAAAATCCGACACTTAGATAGTGACTTGCAGTGTCAGAGACTTACGCAAAAAGCCATCTCTAAATGTTGGCATGATACACAGCCGGTGGCCATTATAGTTTAATGGCGCTTGCTGGTGTCAGGGGGAAATGCGGCGGGACAAGAACAAAAGTTAAGGTGGCTAAAGACCGAGTAGGGTGGGTGGGAGTGGTGGTGGATGGTTCCAACAAACACTGACTTTCATCCGGGAGAACCAAACCCTGTTGGTTTTTCATAAACCTTACCATGTGCTTTTGTTGCCTAAACCAAGCGACGTGCATTAGTTGTGGAGGAAAAAAAAAATTCATTTGCGTTATTGTACTGGCGTAGTGCTTTTATTTTGAAAGAGACTGTATGTAAACAGTAAATTTCCCGTAAAAAGGGAAGTGTATTTTGAAAGAAGACAATGCATGTAACAGGCAGAACTTGACAAGGCATCCTAGAATGTCAACAACCAACTAACCCAGGGTACCTTGCACGTCGTCTCTGGACGTGGAAGGTCCATGACTTAACATCGATATGTGACGAAGTTGGAGTGAGAATGTGTTGTTAGGCTGGCAACAAAGGTAGTAACAGCACCAAATCGGCTTTTAAGTAAAAGTGTGAGCTGGGATATGTGCGTTCCACCACAGGGAGATTTAAAAAGCAGCTAGCAGCAGTTAGCAGCTAACTCAAAGAAGAATAGCAGCCGAAAATGTCTGCAAACTGGGAAGACAATTAAGTGCAGGAGCTCCTTATCCTCCAAGCACAGGACAGGATCAGCCGCCAGATAACAGGCACAGTAAATGAGTGTTACTGCCATATTATGCCCCCATTAGGCCCGTTTCCACTGCAGGAACTTCGGGGTAATTTTACGGGGCCAGGGCCGTTGGTGCGTGTCTCCACTGCAGGAACCACCCCCTAAGGACAGAGTTCTGGAACTTTTACAGGGGCTAAACAAGTCCCTGCCTCAGAGTAGGTACTCAGAACGGCCCCGAAAGACTCCTGGCTGGGGCTTGGGGATTACTTGGTGCTGATTGGATATACTCAAGGAGGGATGTGACGTCAACAGAAAGCTACAGAATAGCCAGCATTTTTAAAACTCAGCAGACAAGGATTAGCTCGTTCATATAGCTTCCGCCGCCATGTAAAAAAACTCACTAAATGGTCCGTGAAAAAAATATTTTTTCCAGCGGATATCTTAGTTACAACATGATTGAGCTAGCAAAGCAGTTTTGTGTTGCTATGTGTGGTATTTATTCAGTTATGGGGAATCACAATGTCTAGAAAGCATCAGTAGTGGCTGCAGCTGACAGGGACATCTTACAACAGCATCTGTTAAAAGCCTCCCGTTGTCAGATACGACATGAAACTACTCCAGTTAGCTCAATCATGTTGTAACTAAGACATCCGCTGGAAAAAATTTTTTTTTTCACAGGCCATTTACTGAGTTATTACAGACACCGCTATCGGCTAACAGCTAACAACGTCCCTACGTCGCCCCGGTCAAAATGGTCGCGCAACGATTATGTCACACCCAGAGCCCGTAACTTTACAGGAACCTTCCTCGTACTCCGCTCTCTCAGTGGAGACACGGCGGTTGAGAGAGCCAAGCGAGAGGACGTTCCTGTAGTAGTTCCTGCCCCCCAGATAGAACCAGGAACTTCTTCAGTGGAAACGGGCCTATTATGATAGCTGAGAGAGTACTGCTCAACACGTATGTTTGTTATATGTCACACTTGACAGGGTGCATTGTGTTAGATGTCACACCCGCCACATTTTTGTGCTTCCAGAACACCAGCATGCTATCTCCATGCATTATGTCTGCATTGTTTAAATCTGTGTAAAAGTGTAAAGGCTGTCTAATGAGGCATCCTCATTGCAGCACCAGGATCTCTGTGAAAAAAAGGGCTAAAGAGAATTTGCCACTTCTGATTTGACGGTTTTGAAGCAAGAAGATCAGTGAAAATGTGGGAAGAACAACACAAAGAGGCCATAAAAAGACAGGCAGGTGTGCGACAGGGAACAGGCAAAGGTACGAGAGGTGAGATTGTGAAAAACACTTCAAACAAAGTCTGCTAAAAAGCAACGCTCAGATCCTCACTTACTTTGTCAGATCTACCTACACAATACGCTCCAAAGCACACGACACTCTGAGCTCTACTCACATTATCGTTGCTCCCTTTGTTGTCCTCATATTTGGTCTCTATGTGGATGGAAAACTTGGGCAGGAAGGAGCACTGGAGGGAAAAGACAAGACATTGAGAAACTGATATGAACGGTGATTACATTGTCAGAAGATAATTACATAGTTTAAGTTTGGACCGGCTCACAACACCGAGGGAGATTTCTGTCAACTAATCCGCAGCATGAGATGTGAGACTAATTGTGTGTCTCTCTGTCTGTGTTTTATTGCCAAAACCAGATGAGCAATAACGATTATTTTCTCACCGTGTAGATTTACAGCCATGAGCACTACACACACACTTTGCTGCCTTTGGCCATACTGACTGTCGCCCATCAGCCCTTAAACACAGCGGTTTGATTAGATTATAGCTTAACACCAATTATTACACAAGCAAAGAATGAAGGAATACTGGTTACATAAGATTTTAATGTGTGTGTGTTTATGTGTGACACAGCGGGACGAAGACAGCAGGAGGGATGTGGAAAGAAAGAGCTACAGGGCTTCATAGAGAGCTCATGGTGAATGCATAGGTGTGTGTGTGTCTGTGTGTTTGTGTGTGAGAGACAAGGACACACAGAGAGTAATTATCGTGCACAGTGCAGCAAAAGTCAGTGCCGCTTGGTCTGCCTGGCCTTGTGACTCTCAGCAGGAGACAACAAGAAAAGAGTGTGTGCATGTGTGTGTGTGAGAGAAAGACTGCAGGCAGAGAATAAACACATAAAGCTCAATTCTAGAAAAGATAATGTCATTGACAGAAGACTGACTGAGCTTTTATTTGACATCATCGCTGAGTCTTTGTTATTCATTTCCTCATCATATCCCTTATCGTCCAGGAAGTCTAAACCTCACAATGCACGATGCAGCATTTTCATGGACTGCTGCAGCCACACACACTTCATGCAGATCATAAATCAAAGCAATGGACAAATTAAAATTTCGACCTGATGACGGTGCTTGTTGAAAAGGCAGATTATCACCAACAGATTGCACGCTAATTCATTTAACAGTTATGAAGATATATTCACTAAAAGCCCAAAATGTCAACCTGCTGGTGGCAGTTACACAGAGCAGAGTGTGACTTTGTGACATAACTACCTATTTTGAATTACAAAGTAATTGTCATTATCTTCATTTTTTTCATCACCACCCACCTCGGGCTAATCAAATCAAAACATTCCCAAGCATAATCGTACCCACGAGGCAGTGTGACCACAAGAGCACCATCAACAGAGATTAAAAATACTTGTTTAACTTACAAGTGGACCTCCGTTTTGTTGGAGGCTTTATCAAAATCATGGTGGTTTGAGAATACTGTGAGCGACTTTGTGCACTAACAGTATGTTTCTCCAAGGAAGGGACGCTCATTTTCAGTCACATTCTTAAGGTCAGGGTTCCCACACATTTTTACAAATGAAAATTTTCCCCATTGCCATGATTTTGTTTAAGCAGTTTAAGCTAGTCTGCAATCATAGGGTGCAATAATGAGGCTCTTACTCCAGCGTGTCATTGCCTAAACCAGGCATTGTAGCAAAAAGAAATTAGCATGCAATATGGAACTAAATGACTTGTGTCGACACATAGAGTAGACACAAAGTGGTAACGTTATTTGGCCTGGCAGCTGTGAAATATGTGCTGACGCTGGCAGCCTGTTGCGGCCTTTCGGCTGTCGTGATTTTTCTCCCCTTTTTTACCTCTTCCTTGAGCTATGTATTACATTTATTCATCCATTCATTCATTTTCCATAACCTCTTATCCTGTCAGGAGTTGCAGAAGGGCTGGAGCCTATCCCACCTGACATTAGGCGAGTGGCAGGGTACACCTTGGACAGATCACCAGACTATCACAGGGCTGACACATAGAGACAGACAACCATTCACACTCACATTCACACCTATGGACAATTTAGAGTCACCAATTAACCTGCATGTCTTTGGACTGTGGGAGGAAGCTGGAGTACCCAGAGAAAACCCACACTGACATGGGGAGAACATGCAAACTCTGCACGGAAGGGCACTTCCACCCTGGGTTTGAACCAGGAACCCTACTGCTGTGAGGCAACAATGCTATCCACGGCAACACATTTGTATTACATTTTATACATTACATTTGTCGTTCAATTGCCATACATTATTAAACACGTGCAGATAAGTGAGCTGCTAGCGCTTGCTAACTTTATTTGCTTGCTAGACATTACCCCCACCAGCTACCTGCTGTGCCAATGTGTATCAAATGATACCAGTGACATTTTAATGGTCATGTAGTGCAGCAATGGATTTTAAATTAGCAGTACTTGGCATGTATTTTGCATAACATTAGACATTTTGTGATTTTTATCAACATATCATAAACAAAATGGCGGCACGGTGATGCAGTGGTCAGCATTGTCACCTCACAGCAAGAGGGTTGGGGGAGCCCTTCTGTGCAGAGTTTGCATGTTCTCCCTGTGTCAGCGTGGGTTTTCTCCAGGTACTCCAGCTTCCTCCCACAGTCCAAAGACATGCAGGTTAATTGGTGACTCTAAATTGTCCGTAGGTGTGAATGTGAGAGTGAATGGTTGTCTGTCTCTATGTGTCTGCCCTGTGATAGTCTGGTGACCTGTCCAGGGTGTACCCTGCCTCTCGCCCAATGTCAGCTGGGATAGGCTCCAGCCCCCCCCCCACGTCACCTAAGAGGATAAGTAGTTACGGAAAATGAATGAATGAATGAATTTTAAACAATAGCCAAAATAATGTATATTCAAAACTTTTCCAAAATATTCTGTTAATTCCAAAGGAATTCCAGGCCTGGAATTGTTCTAGTTTCATAACTTCCTGTAAGGCTGTTTAAGAGATATTTTGCTGCTTTCCAACCAGCTTTGTATCATAACAGTGTTAGTTATGTGTAAATGAACTGTGGTAAACTTCCCTCCATCTTGTCAGCACCCAGATCTCCCTGTTCTTTCGCCAGTGAAAATTGTAGCATCTGGCAAGCTTTTGCTAGCTCTAGGGCTGTTGCCCGACCTACAGATTGCACTTCTGCATTTTTGTATGCCCGCCACCATGGACACAGAGTATAGAGGTGCACTGTTCTGGCTGTGATACAAGAACTGTAATAAAGATCATTTGTTGCCAGCTGGCCACCATATTGATTTTTTGGATAATAAACTCACATTACCCACCAGTGGTAGCATTGATTGGCCTGTTGTGGTGCACTGCATTCTGGTATATGCAGATTTTTTTTTTACCTCTTGAGCAAAAAAAATGCCACAGTCCTTTTAGTCTTTTTTCCAATCATATAGTACCAATTTATTTATTAAGTATTTGCATCTTTCTACTGCATACATAGTCCAGTTTTGTAAATTGACCATCTTTCCAGCAGTGAAATACTTATAGTGACCTTCCTCAAACATCTGACATCTCAGGGGAAACAATCTGCCTTTGCTGATTTTATTCAGGCTTCATTGATGTTTCCTTGCTGCTTCAGACATAAGGTGGGCAGGCCAATGTTCCTCTAATGTCCCAGAGCAAATCATTAATGCTTTTTCTCAGCGACAGTCAGTTAAACAGTTATACTGTTGAGAGCTTTGGGGTTTCTCAATGTTTTTAGAAGAAAATTTAGCTTGATTAGCTGCTATAGACAGATGGATCGGATTGGAGCGGCAGGGATGCAGGTTTTCTGTGAAATAAGGTCTGAGCTGTAGGGTAAAGCTCCTATGAGGCGATTTTACATGTACGGCCTTCATCTATGGCTCAGATCTCTAGAGTAGTAAGTGAAATGATCTGATCTCAGATACAAGATGCCAGAATAACTGGCCTTTGCAGGTTGTCTTTTTTATCTTAAGGACATGGTGAGGCAGCCCACGTACGTTTCTACAAACCACAAATACATAGCAATGTTATGTTTTAACTGCTTTTCATGGCACTATCCTGGCAGGAAATGCTGTCCAGTAGAAAACACTTTTTGTGGCACTTTCCCCGCCAATAGGTCGATACAAAACACCCATTTGGAGCCTAAAAAGTTGATGGAAACACATCGATGGCTCACTATAACACAACCAGTTTTGGTGGTTGTTGGTGTCCAACACTGGTCTGCCGCAGTCTGCAACTTGGCAGCTGTCTTGCCTCCCACCATCCCCTCCACCTCCTGATGACAAATTCAGCTCATATATCACGTCACTTAAGAAATCTTGATATAATATGTATTAAACCTGCAAATGTAATGTATTTGTAGTTTGCAGAAACTTATGATGCCAACATTTTCTTCTGGTGACTAGGCTTGGCGAGGAGCTCAGATATCTACATATAAAAGGAGCTTAGAGTAGAACTGTTGATCCTTTGCATTAAAGCTCAGTTCATCAGGATTCTGATCAGGATTCATCCTAGATGCCTCCCTACAGAGTTATCCTGGGCATATTCAACTGGGACGTGACCCCAGGGCAGACGCACAACACATTGGAGTAAATACATATAGTAATTGGCCTGGGAGCACCTTGAGATTCTTAAGGAAGAGCTGGAGGAGAAGAAAGTCTACAATGCCTTGCCTGCCACCACAGTGACTCTGACTCGGATCGGCAGTGGAAAATAAATGAACAGTAAATGCTGTTTTTTACTTAATTAACTGTATATAATGTACAACAGACAAAAATCATCAAGACAAAAGGAGAAGTAAGGATAAAGAGAAAACATTGTGTTTGGATTTAATTGAGGTTTCAGATCACACTGTGGCCTCTGACTGATTTGAAAGCACATTTATTTTAAAGATCGGATTGTTGTCGTTAAATGTCACTGCATGAGAAATGCTAAAATCTGAAATACTGCTTGGATTAGACCTTATTTGCTGTGAGAACAATCTGATGAATGAAGGTCAGAATAACGTCACAGACACATGCACAAATCTCTCTCAATGCATGCACACACACCCATACGCACACCAGCCTGTTTTCATTCCCAGGTCGTCAAATACTGATGTTTTGTTACAGCATGTGATGTCAATGCCAAAGGTACCCTTTAGTATCTTTATGACACATGTTGGGCTTTCAGCTAACTCCAATGTAAAACCATCCAAGGCAATACTTGACGTTGAGAGGAAGGGAGTCAGTATTTGATGAACTGGGAATGAGAGCGGGTTCGCACCAAGGGCTGTGACATCATAGGGGGGATTAGGGGGTTTCTATGAGTTGGTTTTAGTTGTAGTCTATGTAAGTTCTCTCTTTGTTTAATTTGGTCTCATCAGCCACTATGTATGTTGCCCTATTGTTTCATTCTGTTGGGTCTGTTTGTTGAGTTACCATCTAGTTTTATGAGCCTTATTTTTCAGTAAAGTTATGTTTTGTTGACCCCTATAACTCAAATTCTGCTATCTTTCATCATTTGCTTTGTGAAATGTATTTTCTGGGGAAAATAAACTCACGTTTTTTTACTTAAAACCTGTGTTTTTGTGCTTTGACTGCTTGGTCCATGGCATTCACACAGCGGCCTGTCATCCCAAGGTCATCAAATACCGACGTTTTGTCACAGCATTTGATGTCGATGCTAAAGGTGTCCTTGAGCATCTTTTTGAGACATACTGGGCTGTCAGCTAACTCCAAAAAACCCATCCACGGCAATACTTGACACTAAGAGAAACTGGCATTGGATAAAGTATTCGACAACGTGGGAACGAGAACGGTTTGCACACATACTGATACTACTATTTATGAAATGGGTTACTTCACTCTCTGTAGCCTAAGGTGTAAAACTGCATGCAAACACAGCAACATAAACACAAGCACCATCATCCAAATGTCAATCAGTAATGTAATGTCAAAAGGTTGACCTGTCAGAAGCTGTTCCAAGTAAGGAAAACATGCTGAAGCTATATTGGAGTGTGTGTTTTGTATGTTGCTGTGTACAGATGTGTGGCAGATGGTGCAGCCAGACATTTTGTATGTCACGGGTCAAGGGAACCATATATTTCTGCTGTAGACACTGGACTTTATCAGAAAAGGCACAACACACACATTAGCCATCCCGTGCTTGCAGCATTCAGGGAAGTGTGACCACTCTCACCTATAACCTCCACCACAAAGATTTATACATATATTATATATTTTTGGATCGAAGTGTTTTTTTGTATGTGTATTTTGTGTGTGGGTGCAGACACATCGAAAGTACTCACTGTGTACTCTGACCGTATTTCCAGCAGAGGCCATCAGTGTAATGGACAGAAATGGGTGGTGTGCGGCGGGGACAGACAGGCAGAAGGGAACAAAGGAATGAAACGGTATGAGAGGGATAAGAAGAGAAAAAACAATTTAGTTCAAAATGGAAAAAGGACCATTAAGTCTCTGCAATAGCACTTCTGTTACAGTGAAAGCACAGAGTGAGGAGCCCATTTTGTCTCATTTGAAAAAATGTATTAGTCACATGTATTAGTCACATGGACACACTGTACATACAAGAGACCTATATGTCCCTGCGCCACTGCCACCATGTTGTTTCTTAAGCTGCAGTTCTCCCAGTTATTGAAGATTCAACCAAAGCAATAAATAAAGCAACGTTATATCTGCAGACTGATGTCAGTATTTTTAGTGGCATTTAAAGCAGTTCTGCTTCAGCTAAAAGTCTGTTACACATTCAAAGGTAGCTGACAGACTGAAGATGACACTTTAAATGAAACACTTCACGGGTATCCGTCTACACAACACATTTTAAGATGACTTCAAAACATCTGTCTGGCACACTCAAAAACACCACTTATAGAGTCAGGTGTATTCAGTGAGCCACAATGACAGAAATATGCTTTTGAAAAGCTGCTAATAACAGGGGCGACTATATCTTATGCAGCACATCACATGGTACATTACATTTGTTATTATGTAGTGGATACGTCGAAACTAGCGATGTCAGTTTAAGTTACTTTTGCTTTCCATAGCCTGACGCACATTAACTGATAACTAATCTCTCAAGACAGATTCTGCAATTTACATTGTAGAATCTGTCTGCAGCCTTGTGTGAAAGACGACTGGGGGGGGGGGGCTTTGTGTTTGAATGATGCTGCATCACAATGGAGGGGGTGTGGCCAAGACGTGCAGGTGTCCCCAGGAATGTGTACCTACAGAAACAGCAAGCTCTGCGTCCATGGCGACCGCTCCACCCAAAACGCTGTCTCATCAACGTGAAAAAAAATACTTTTTCCAGCGGATGTCTTAGTTACAACATGGTTGAGCTAACTGGAGTAGTTTCATGTCGTATCCAACAACGGGAGGCTTTTAGCAGATGACGTCCTGATGTTAGCTTTGCTGCTGCTGTTAGCTATCCCTGTCAGCTGCAGCCACTGATGCTTTCTAGACATTGTGATTTCCCATAACTGAATAAATACCACACATAGCAACACAATACTGCTTTGCTAGCTCAATCATGATGTAACTAAGATATCCGCTGGAAAAGATATTTTATTCATGGACCGTTTATTGAGTTATTACCTGGTTATTACAGACACCACTAATGGCTAACGTTAACAGCTAAAGGTTAGCCCAGTTAATCTACGATGTTATTATTGTTATTATTTACAAAACGTGCACACAGAAATAGTAAAGTTTGTTCAATCATTGTGTTTATAGACTTAACAAACATCAGATTAGTCTACACAGTGATATAGTGACATGAAAAATGTGATATATAGCTAAACTCTGCTGGTTTTCTACCCGAAGTATTTGTAAACAACACGGCGATTCCCTGGGGGCTCCGCCGGAAGTGAAGGGCGTGAGCGATTGCTGAGGCCCCGGGCTGTGCCTCCAGAGGTAAAGGAAGAAAAAAAAAGTGTGTTGTTTTTTTTTTACCGATGAATTTCCAGATTGACTGATAACTAACTGGTTCATTTTTAAGGAAAAAAATCCAAAATGGCGTAAATTACAACAGGCCTTTCCTTTTAGTCTAGCATTGCATTTTTTGTAATGTAATGTCCGACTATTTTCTATTCTTTTGGCTTTGCTGACAGACGTGTCCTCTGTGGCCAACTACCCACCCATCCGTCTCCGCTAGTTAGCTAACGTTAGCTTTGGCTGCCCTGCACTGCACACCATCCAGGTGGGGTGGGAGCTTGCTAGGTAGCTAGTTTATTTTCCTGTGTAGGCTTCATGTCATACTCAAGCTCCTGCTGTACCCTGAATTGAAATGTCCCTTTTAAATGTAACAGAAGCAAAATAGTGCATATTATTAAGAACAGCATGCTTCCTCAGACGCCCCAAACAAACATCGAGAGGATGTTTTAAACTTCATGTCTGACCTTCCACTTCACTGTTTATCTTTCAATTCAACCTGCCCGTCCTCTCCCTACACTTTCACCGTCTCTCTTGACCTCTGTCCCTCCGTCCCTCCCTCCCATCTGCTCATTGTATATTGCTTCCATATCCCTTTGCCCTCCAAATGATCCCACATAATGGCTGCCAGCAGGTGAACAGAGCCATGTTTGCAGAGGGCTGCAGAAAATGGGAGTTGTTGTGTGTTTATGTTGTTCTGGTAAAAATCAGCAAAAAGCCACGCTCTTGCAGAGACAGAGATCTTTATTAAAAGAGACAGTGGATGTCTAGTTTTTAAAACGATGCTAATTTTTGTAGGATGTAGGGGGATATACTGGAAATGAGTATGGTTTATTTAGTGTAGAATCACTTGAAAATAAGGATCGTCATGTTTTTGTTACCTTAGAACAAGCCGTTTATTTCGACATAGGGAGCGAGTGCCCATCCACTGAGATCGCCATGTTGCACCGCGATGTTTCTACATTAGGCCAAGAAAGGACATACCAAACACTGGCTCTAGATAGGACCATTCGCGTTTTCACGTTTTTTGCCTCGCCACCATAGTTAGCAGCCCCTCCTCGGGGAGAACGTTGGGAAAACACAGATTTTTAAAATATTTTTATTCAGTGTTTTTACAGCTTTAAATCACCGGGTCCATTTGTTTTAGAGAGAAAGAGACCTCTGCGGATAATCTGGCTCCTGCTAAAAACCTCATGAATGATGAAAACTGAAGTAATTCAAACTGGGAGAAGTTTCAGCTGTTGTAATATGCAGTCTTTACCACTAGATGCCACTAAATCCTCCGCAATTTTACACACTGCTCCTTTATTACAATGTTGTAGAGGTAATAATGGTGGAACAAATGTGCTTGATCGACAATATACACTCATTCAGAATACACATTCAGGAAATAGCATGTTTCATTGAAGCACATTCTCGGAACCCATTGGCTGTATTCGGCATCTGACTTCCGGCAGACAGTGATACAGCCTCTGGAGGCAGACCCCTGATTTTTTGGCATTCTGGTTTGAGGAGGTGAATTTCTGTTTCCGACTTCCATTTATATATAAGTAAATATGATGGGGAACTGCCCATTGGTTCGACAGCCCATTGGTTCGACATCCCATTGTTCCAACCATATTAAACTCATTGTTCCTAAGTCCGTTCCGAAATCATCATGATGCCCTGTGGTTAAGGTCTGGTTAGGTTTAGGCACAAAAACCACTTGGTTAGGGTCAGGAAAAGATCATGGTGTGGGTTAAAATGAAAAAGAAAGTGACAAACACATAAGCCGTGAGCCTGCTCCGCCTCAAGCCGGTCGCGGCGGGTGTATGGTGCGCTGTTCAGCACCGCGGACAGTCGGACTAATGGGCTGTCGAACCAATTAACATGGACCCATACGATGAACCATTGTGATGGATTCAGAGTTTGCAGTGACGCCAATTATATTCCGCCTCGTTAGTTCACCGCACGGAGCATTTAACCAACAACTGCAGCCGGCTCAAACGTGATTGATCAATATCATGTGGACTACAAACAGCCTAGCACTGGAAACCAGGGCTCTTCCGCTCTTCAAGATCAGGGGTTTGCCTACAGACTCCACATTCACTGAATGTAGAGTCTGTTTATAGAGACTAATTGAAGCATTACCTGTGATAGTGTACGGGTAATAGTTCCAAGCCTTCTCCGTGACATAGAAGATTTTAGGGACCACTGCTCTGGCCCAGCTGGGCAGCTTGCTGAAACACAGAGAAAGCAGAGTGGATGGATTGTAAACTGAAGGAGAAGAAGAAAAAGTCAGAGGACTAATGATGCAAATAGCTTGTGTGCTGCACAGTCAAAGTATCCCTCTTTAAAAGTTGCTCCACTCTTTTCCTCGGCCCCTTCGCCCCAAAAAAGCAATGACAAGCATCCAGCTGTTTGGAGCCGTAATGGAGGCCATACAAGGCAGCCATGACAGCCCCTGGGGAAGTTGATTACACTGATTATACGCTCCACCCTGCAGTGGAGTTTCACCGGAGCTTGCAGCGTGATAGATACGGAGAGGGACACGGAGGGCGGAAAGTACAAGCAAACAGCTATTACTCAGCACAAACTGATCCTAAATATGGGCAGTTGCAGCCAAGCAGCCTGGCGTTTTATTAGGACGTCCAATCACAATGCAAACGATTACTGAGGAAGGGCAACAACAGGGACCAAACTTTGCTCAGCCGGTGGGAGATTGCTGAGCCAAGGATTTGAAAGATGCATGAATTCAGAGGTGAAGTGAGCCGATTTATTTTTGAAACTTTAAAACTTTTAACAATGGAGCAATCCTGACTCGCAAGCTATAAAAAGTGAGTCTCATTACTGAGTCCCATCAGAAACTTCACTGCAGCCCAGAACACAGCTGGTTCACATCTCTGACTGATTATCATCTAATCAAACAAGGCAAAAAGCACCGTAATTGGACACAAAGCCATCATTAAGCTGTACCACATTTCACTCCCTTTTAAACCAGCCAATGATTATTTTAACTCCCACATTATCACCCTCTTCCCTTCTTGTATGTGCCTTGCAGCTGTAATTTAATGTGGAGATTATACTGAGAGTCTGTACAGACCACTGGGACACAAGACAGACAGTTCCCTCTCCAGTGGACTGTCAAACAGCCAGGGAAGTGTGCAGACACAGCAGACTGGTCACATGTCCTCACACTGCCTTAACTACAAGTGGCACACTCACACACACACTGACACACACACACACACAACTGCACAGATTGCAGCTATAGCGTTGTAACAGGTGGTTTGTGGGTGGAGAGAGGCAGGCGCGGCGTCCGACAGTGACTGCTCAAATTATCCATCTCTTACAGGGACCTCATCTGTCTCTGCCCACACACACACCAACACACACATTCACACACACTAAACCTTCCTAGGTCTGAGTGTGTCAATGACACTTCACATTTCCCAAAGGGCCACTTACTTGTCACGTCTGACCACAAAGCCTTCCTCTCTCTGCCTCTCACTTTGTTATTCTCCATGAGGCTCTCTCCTCATCTCTGTCTCATTGTCTCCCTTTTGGGAATGAGTGGCCCAGTTGTTTGTGACAGTATTTGATTCTGATCAATGTGGACTTCAGCGCATCAGTCATATCATCGTCATACATTGGTCTTCAGTTTGAGCATTAAAAGAATAAATATGAGTGGAAAAATGGGGGGCAAGAACACCAAAGTGCCCATCAAAAGGATAGATTACATTATTGCTCTATAGCCATGTAACACAAAAATTAGTGAGCACCACAAATGGCCAAATAGATTTAAAGGAATATTTCAACCACAAAATGATCATTTGCGTATCAATTACTCATTCCCTGTGAAGTTGAAGTTGTGAAGAACACTTTGTTTTTCTCACATGCCTCCACAGTGAATCCAAATACTGAGAAAATTCTCTTACTAGCTGCCACGTTTAACAACAGCAAACCTTTATCAAAACATCTGTTTACAAATTCTCACACAACTCGTGCACTCGTGTAATCCCAAGTCACATTTATCCAGTTGTATGCTCAGTACTTCCCAAACACATGCAATTTCACTAAAACCTTACAGTTTATATCAGTGCAGCATAAACAGTGTCATGCACAGATGAATAGCGCACCTAGGGAAACACGTGCACTTGAACTCTGCTCACTGGGATGCAAGAGCAGAGTTCAAATGTACACGCTTGCCGTATGCGAAAATGTTTTAAAATGCAAGGTTTTAACATAAATGCATGTGTTTTGGAGGTACGACTAGATAAATGAGACTTGGATTATGCTGCACGAGTTAATTCATCATCATTAATTCTGATTCATCAATAATTTTCTCAGTTTTTGGATTCTTCGTTCACTTTGGAGGCATCCAAGTTGTCTTCACAAATTCAGTGTAACATGGGGTAAACAAATGATAAAACAATGGATCGTTTTGTGGGTCGGGTTACTTGTGAAGACCTATCTTTCGTCATGGCTTCTGCTTCTGATTTAACACCACGTCTCCATACATTACTAATATTTTTTTTGTCTCTTGCGCTGCTTTCGGTATAAGCAGAGCTGAGTTTTCTGTCTGACTGTGTGACAGTCCTTGTAAAACACCCCTAACACCACCATTAACTATAGTCCCGTTTCCACCGAGCACTACGGTACGGTAAGGTTCAGTCTGGTCACTTTTTTTCTATTTCCACTGTGAAAAGTTGTGGATGGTACCAATAGAACCGTTCTGTACCGTCCCCATTTTTGGTCGCCCCTCTGTTGGGGTACCTAGCACACAGATCTGGTACTAGAAGGTGACTTTTAAGATCAAGATAAGAACATTTCCTTGTAATGTTACTCAATGCATGAGTTGACGACGTAATTCAACATCAACATACCTTAAATTTCACTGTGACAACTTTGACCATCACTTTAGTTTTTATTCGACATACACTTTTAGCGATGAGTGGATCTTCAAGCATTTGTATATATATTAATTGCAACCGGTATATCCTAATCCTCACTCAGAGAAAAAAAAAAACATTGCAGAGTGTCGTTCCTGTGGCCTACAACAATACTTAACCCCTGAGCTTGCCTTAGAAGGACTACATGCACAAACCCACTATTTCTAAATATCTCATGGAGAAAGACTCACACTGCAGCCTGTTTAAATTTGTTCTGAAAATGTTGGTGTGCAGCCCTGTTCTGTGGACGATAAATGAGGTGCAGACTGATAAAGGAGGAAATACAGTGAGTGCTGGACGGAGCAGTGAGTGACAACAACCCCACCCCATTTAAGAGTACTGTTTGCGGTGGAAAGTGGACCTAGGGTGTAGGTGCCACGTCTGAAGGGTTACTTTTGGTTCCAAAGGTACCATATCGAAAGTGTTTGGTGGAAACGGGGCTTATGACTTCAGTAATAACATTTCAGACAGTGGCATTAAAACCTGTGCATTATGAGCTACAGATGGACATTATGGCAGAGCTGTTGTATTGGACCACATTAAATTTTACAGGTTGTACCTGATAAAGTATCCACATCATGTTTCAGTTAACTCAGAGCTTTAAAATTCTTCTCCATCTCATCCATTTTATTTGTTTACTTCTCATCCTTTGCAATCATTATAGATTTAATAAGTGAAATCAATGAGGTGCTGAGCTGCGCTTTCACCTTGATTCACCTCATCATTGCACGCAGTGAAAGGTCCAAGTGTGGTCCGATATTTTGTACAAATGTACTGTAATGTTTTTTTTTGGCTGTAATGCTGCACAGGAGAAAATGATGCAGGTTTGTGATGAGGGGTCGCAATCAGAGCAAATTTCAGACCGCACACTGCAGCTAATTCAACTGTAATCTACATAACAGAAAATCAAATACTCAATTTCACACTTATCAAGTTTAACAAAGCCCACTACCAGCTCTGAGCTGTAAAGGAGGCTTGAGGAGAGATGAAAAGGTACATCTGCTATACTGCACCCTTGCTTGTTCCTGAAACACATCAACGCTTAGAAGACTAGATATTTAAAATTAGCATGTGTCATGTCCCATATGAGACTATACATACTATTTATTTGAATAAGGCAGCCTACAGATGCTGTGCGTAACCAATGGCTACTCTATAGTCTTAACAGCAGGGACTGCGGCTACACTGAGAGTAGGAGACGCCTCTGCAGTGAGAAACTGTCACATCATCTTTTCTTTGTCAAATCCTTCCTGACAGCTTTAGCAGCTATGACATATTAGAGGAACATTAAGTCTTCAGCAGCATATGTGGGCTTGTCCTTTTGGGGTCAGTGGGGTATAATAGAAACCACACGTTTATACGCAGTGTAAATAACTTAATTAAATCGAACATATGTTACATGACAAGAGGAATACACTTACTTGTTGAGGTAGATTCGTTTCTCAGTGAACTGGCCTGATCCGTGCTCGGGGTCGTTATATGGCTCGTTCTGGACCACCTCCACCCCCTCCCCACGTTCACTCTGTTCGTGACTGTGTTTACTGATCATATACAGCTGGCCAATCCGATACTACAAGACAGACACAAACAAACAGAGAAGCTTCATATTAGATTGATTGTTTTATTACATCTTGTGAGACAATTAACGCCAGAGGAGGAGGAGAAGGAGGAGGTCAACCTGATATTGTTATAGCAACAAACTGTCCTACGTATTTGGAGTACAATTCTGAATGGAAACAACGTGCTCTTTGCTCGAGGTCCAACAGCTGACTCAACAGTATAATTTTATAGCAGTTGAAAAACAAACACAGAAGGGAAAATACCAGGATTACTATCACTGCATGGTCCTGACACCTGGGGACAGTCCCCACAGTGAAAGAAAGCTAAAAGTATTACGAGCTGTCTGCAGCATAGTGACAAAGGCATCATTTCAGGTCAGGACCACGCAGTACAACAATAGTAACAGCAGCCAGCGAGGTGACCGTATGTCACGGCCCCTTGCAGCTCATCGGTCAACACCCACATCTTTCACTCAGCACTGACTGACCCACTTGGCCGAATGACAATGTCACTTTTGGTCGCCTTGACAGGCCGGATCGGGGCGTCACACTGCAACTATTTTCCATACATTTGGAAAACGACAAGCGTTGGAGTGAGAGTGCTCCAGGACAGAGATTTCCGACTGCTTGTAGGCCTATTTCCGGGCCAGGGGAAATCGATACGGCCCTGATGGTGACTTATGCCACTCTGTTGGAATGCCAAGCGGTCATGTAGGACTCAACCGCCACACACACAAACAGAGGTCCAACCAAGGATAGCTGTGTTAAGCTAATGGAAAAAAAGGACAAGGACCGCCTGGGATGTTGACTTGTGACTTTACATCCAGCCACAAAAAGCAAGGAATGGAGAGAAGAGAAATGTGATAGTGAAGTGGAAAAAAGCAGAGCCAACATGTACCAGTAAACAAGCTCAGTGTGTTCCTTCTTATATCGCAATGCCAAATTTTTCCATCTGCCAGCCACGGGAGAAAAAGCAAAAGGCTGAGACAGAGTCCGCCCAGCTGGAATGTTGATGGCCGGGTGTTTCTGACTGAACAGCTGTTGGAGTCTGGCATCATTTTTCCGCCACAATGACACAGTTACAGGCCAGGCATAATTGAAGAGGATCCTCTGTTTAGTCACACACAACACACATGACACGTACAAAGCACTGTGGCAGTGAATCTGTCAGAATTAGTGATTTGTCCAGATACAACAACAACAGGGAATGAAAATGGGCTTCATCTCTACAACTTGAAGCCACTCTAATCAATACTGCTACTATTGGTCTATTTAAGAGGCAGCAGACAGCTTGTTTTAGGCAAAATACGCTCTTAAAATTGACCTGCCCAGTATCACACAGCAGCCAGACAAAGTCAGTGACTAGCTGGTGAACAATGTGGAGCATTTAGCAGCGAAAGAGCCAGATATTTCCCAGAGGAGTTGGTGAGCACAAACAAAATGAAGTGAGAGCGAACGCAAAAACGACTCTAAATGAATACTAATGCTTCTCCGTGTCTATTGGATGTGTTAATAAGCAACTGTTGCCAACATGTTCTCCATATTAACTTGATATACAGGAATAATGTCCAACAAGTCTTGCAGGACCTCCTCTGCTGTTTAGCATCAGGGTCCTGCATTACATTGTCAGGGTTTATATCGCAGTAATGACCCTCTAACTGTACATTATCCCGCTTATTACAGGGCTACTTCCTGTGGTAATCCAAAATATGACAAAAGTATTGATTTAAAAATGATTTCATTGATTTAAAGGGGACCTATTATGCTTTGCTGTTTGCTGTTTTGTGTCTTATAAATAGTGTAACAATGAAGGATGTTCATATTAAACATAGCCAAAGTTTCAAATAATGAGATAAAATATCTGCAAATGCAAAACAGTCATCTGCTCAAGACATGCTACTACAAAAGGTTTACATAAGGTAACCACACTACTACATGTAGCTACATGCTAACATCTGGGAAATGTGTACACTTGGTTGCCTAAGTTGTTAATTTCTCTTTGATTTTGGATCATATTTTGGCTGGAACAGTAGAGTCGTTTCCTGGCTGCAATGCAGATGCAGAGACGCTGAGATATGGAGCCTGAATCGGTGACTAATCAGAGCAGACTGGGCTTTTTTGGGGGGGTGTGGGACTTAAAGAGACAGGTGCTGAACGGAGCATTTCAGACTGATGGCGAACACCAGACCCACGGGAAGTGCACCAGACTTTAAAGTCAATTTTTGTATTGGCCAAACACTGGAATAAGAATGTAAGGTTGGTCGAGCGGTGAAGGCAAAAGGAAGAGGACTTTAAACTGTTCAACAGTCCAATTTTTTTATTTCCCTTTTCTTTTCCAGCAGTGGGTTAGGTGCAGCAATATGTACAGTGCAGTTCAGCTGGCCAAAACTGAAGAAAAACTAAAACAAAAATCAACTCTGCACCGGGCTATGCCCCCTTTAAGTTTGGGCCCCTGGCAGTAACAGCCGCTGTGGCCGGCTTGCTAGACAGATCTCAGAAACTCGAGAGAAGCTTCCAACTCCTGCATATATAGACCGTAGCTCCTCCTACACATGGGAAATACAATTAATAAATCAATCAACAATCAGCAGTGATTAATTCATACTCTTCAGACTACTTTTTATAAGCCAACAGTGAAAAACATTGCTACACACTCCAAAAGAGTAAAAATGTTCTTAAACTGCTCAAAATCAACACTTGCACAAATATCTCCCCAAAACTCCCCCTCATCCATACTACACTTGGCACATTCCCCCAGGAACTTGACTATAAAAGGAATCCAGATGGGCAGGGTCTGGTTTGGCAGTTCCTGAGTCCAAACCAGAGGTTGGCCAAGTGCAGTCTAGAGGAGAGGTGAGACACACAAAAGAATTAGTCAAATAAAGAGATTTAAAACCACAATATTGTCAGACTTTTCTTCCTGACTTCATGTAAATGTGCCTGTGACACTGAAGCACCAAAACAACTACACACCTACAACTACCAGGTTTCAACCTTAATTGTGCTAATTACCAACCCCAAACACCTGCAGGCTAGATGGTGTGTGAAAATGCCTGGAGGTAGACAAGCATTGTGTGTGTTTGTCTTTTACCATTAGAGGTCACGGGGCATCCCCGTGACAAAGAACTTCCAAGTCTGTCACGTGATGCCATTAGGCCCAAAAAAAAAAAAACCTTCCATAGACTTACAGTGTGAAAGAGATGTAGATCAGTGGAAACATTTTTTGGAGATTCAGTGAATCAGTGATGTCAGTGTGTTAGTAATGTATCATAAGACAGTAAGAAGTGAGAAAGGAAAGAAGAAATTAAATAAAATACAATTTGACAGAAATTAAGTAATGATAGCTGGGATGGAAGTTCGGTAATGACTATATGTATGTTTGTGTACGTGTGTGTTTGTAAATGGAGTGTATGAGAAGTTAAGAAAAACAAAACAAAACAAAAAAAGAGCAAGTAAATTAACACAATTAACAAATGATTAAATAGTAACAAAAGAAAGTTGACATAGATGAGAGTTGATGATGTTCAAAACCAGTAATTTGTTTGATACAATGACAGTGAATGACAGTGAATTATAAAGCTGTAACAACCATAATAATAAAACTGAGAGAAAACAAACAAACAAACAAACAAACAAACAAAACAATGCTATGAATGTTTCCCTAACCAAAATCTGTTATTTAGTGATGATGGAAGTGACAGTGATAATAAACATATTATAAATAAAATAATAAAATGTAATATAATATAAGGAGAAAGGTGTGTGGATGCTGGTGTGCATGTGTGTTGTGGGTGGGTGGTGCACAGGCAAAAAGAGCTGGTCAGTGGGGAGGTGGAACTGGGGTGGGGACTTGTTTTTGGATTGAAGCAGATTTCCAGTCATATGTATTCAATTAGTGATGGAGATTTTGTGCCTTGTTTCCCAGTTCATGAGAATAGTTTTCTTGGCGATGGTTAGGGCAATGGAGAGTAGTCTGCTTGGTGTATTGTTGAGGTTTGTGGTGGATATGTCGCCAAGTAAGCAGAGAGAGGGGGAGAGTGGGATGTGAGAGGTTGTCGGTGATGTCCTGCCAGAATTGTTTAATGGGTGTGCAGTTCCATGTGGCATGCATATAGCTATCTGTGGTTTGTATGCAGTGTGGACAGATATCTGTGTCTATAAAACCCATTTTAAACATTCCTTCTCCTGTGTAGTGTACCCTGTGAATAGCTTTGTATTGAATGAGGTTTTGTAAAGCCAGATAAAATAAATCTATCCTGAATGTGGTATATCAATTAAGTATATATGTAGATAGATAGATAAACTCTGTGTGTGTGTGTGTGTGTGTGTCTGTGTGTGTGTGTGTGTGTGTGTGTGTGTGTGTGTGTGTGTGTGAATCACATGATTTCAGAGAAACGGGGCCTCATTTGCCTGAAATCACATGATATCCTGAAAAACGATACAGGCTTCCACATGGGCTTCATTTAGACATGCCCCCCTTGCTCAACACAGGCCTCTGGACTTTAGTATCAGATGTTAACATCTCTAATGAAGACATGTACTTCAAAATTATACTGATTTTCTCAGGAGCAGTTTCCATCTATGCTCAAAGTAAGTATGGCTACTTCCTTATGACTGTTACTGTTGAATCTGTAGAAAAAAAGAAACCAAAATGACACGTTATTTGTAAAATCTGTTGATGATTTTGTCACCAATATATATTGTATAAACAGGCTTTTATTCTGAGTTGATGTGTGATTGATGCATTTTCCTAGGAAGTCATGAACTTTGTCACAATTATGGCTGCTATGAGTCGAGTGATGCTCAACTCTGTGTGACACTGGATGGTGATGATGTCTACTACGCTGACTTTAAAGAAAAGGGTCTTGTTTGGGAAAGCAGAATCCCTTCAATGATCCACGTTCCCTGGGCTTACAAATATGCCGAACTTTACAGACAAAGTTGCGGATATGATTTGCTCAGATGGAAACCAGACACGTCTGCTGCAACAATGACCACAGGTAAGACACATTCATTGATGTTATGTTGACTGTCTACTTCTGGCAAAGATACTGTATCCATTTAGCACAGGGTTGTTGAGAGACCATTGAACGTACACTAAATTATGTGTTAATTTAACTCTCAGAGACACCAGAAATCCTCATCTACCCCAGAGATGAAGTGATAGAAGGAGAAGAGAATACACTCATCTGCTTCATCAACCATTTCTTCCCTCCCTCCATCAACATAAAGTGGACCAAGAATGATGTAGAAGTAACAGTGGAAGATGCTTTCAACAAATGCTTACCCAATCCTGATGGGACGTATCATGTTTTGTCCAATCTGAACTTTGTCCCAAAGGAAGGAGACATCTATGGCTGCACTGTGGAACATGCATCGCTGGAGAAGCCTCAGACTCAGTTTTGGGGTGAGAACAAAAATGCTCAATGATGTATAATATCGTAATATTTTTTGACTGGTCTGATAAAGATGGAATGAATAAATTCTGAAGTCACTTTAAAATTTGGGTTTTCCTGTCTTCCCCAGAAACTGACACAGATGAGACGAACATTGGTCCAGATGTCATTTGTGGACTTGGCCTGGGTCTTGGACTTCTTGGAGTTGCTGCAGGAACAATATTTTTTGTAAAAGGAAACGAATATCAGGGCTTCCTTGTGACCCAGTAGTTAAGACCTATAATATATACAGCACTGTTATTTCATCATCCCTGGTTTGTTTCTGGCCATTGACATTTGTTTCATGGTACTTCCAGGGTTTTCCCTGGGTTTTTTCGAGACCAAGGTGGCAAAGGCCTGTGGCGGGGGACATAATAACAGCTGTACTTTTAGATACGGTCTCCCCATCTATTAAATATGAAAGGAGGCCCCCACATACTTGAGCTTTACACTGCTGACTTGTATAATCAGAACAGACATGTCCTGTGATTTTCAGCCTTCTATGATTATATTTACCCTTTACAGCAGGCACATCCTGACAGCTGAGAATATTACTGTCAGGTATTGTCCCCCCTCTATTAAATATGAAAGGATGCTGAAAATCACAGGACATGTCTGTTCTGATGATACAAGGCAGCGGTCCTAAAATGTGCATTTCTCTTCTATAATACACATTCTACATCTCGGAGGTGACATCCTTCCACATATGGGCTTCCTTCGCCTTTCAAACGGGGCAGAGCTCCGTGGGATCTGACACACAACACTGGAGGGAGAAGCACGTCCATGGAGCTGTGCGCCGGACGAAAGAACAAGCGCGTTGCACCAAATGCGCGCCGCTATGGCGTCGCTTTGGGTTGTGAGCGACAATAACGCACGTCTACATTAAAAGTAATGGGTTTGTGCGCGCAAAAGACACTACATCTGAACGCCCCCCATGCACACACACGCTTTAACCAAGGCGGCGGCTAAAATCACCCAGGCGGCCCGCCTTGGTTGACTTCCACCTTTCTCTGCTCCCTTGTTTCCTGACACCTCTCAACTGTCTACTTTGAGTAAAGGCCAAGATGCCTGCTCAAAAAAAGGAAATGTATGCATATGAGTCAAGCTGATTCACTTTTATATCTGTAATTCATTGACTTTTCAGTAACACTTTCTATGAAGATCACATCTATAATGCCTTATGAGGGCATTTAGAGTGAATTATAATGCATTTATAAGGCTCTATATCTACACTCATTAACACACACAGTGCTTCCTGATGCACTTTATCACCAGTCATAAAACATTAGAGATGTGTCTTATAATGTATTGTAAGTGTCTTACACAACACTTTGTCACTTCACAGCTGTCCAAAACATGTGGTTTGTGCCAGGCGGACATGATTGCCAGTATTTTTTCATTATTGCAAGAAATTCAATTGACTCATTCACAAGTCAAAAATGTGTTTTATTTGAAAGAAACATGCAATATTTACATCTAAGATAACAGAAAAATAGTAATAATATTATTCCTCACTATATGAAGTGACTGATAACAAGATCTGTATAATGGATTGTAAAGAAATTTGTCAGGTTTTATTTTGTAGACAATTGATCTGTATTTACAGCGTGATGGGATGACAGCACAATGATGTGTGTGGTATCACTGGAAAGCTCTGGTCCTGCGTTTTAATGTGATATGTGTGGCATTTCTGTGCAACCCTGCATTCGCGAGTATCCATCCAAGAGTAATGTGTGTGCAGAGCTGTATGAAAGCTTTGTTATACATCATTTTGGTGTAACTTTATCATTTTTTTTCGCTGTGAAAACATTGGACTACTGTTTCACATCATATGCGTGGCTTCTCGCTATGATGCACGGTTACGGAGAAAATCCATAGAGAAGAACTGGTGTGAATTTGGACGCACTATGCGTCATTCGGGCCCATAGGGTTTGGTTCTCAACACGTTCACAACAATTTAAAAACATAACACATTAACCTGCTTTTCTCAGGGGTATTGTCAAAGAGTTTGTTGAAATTTGTTAAAGATTTGTCGGTCTGAAATATTGTTAGGCCTTAAATAACAGATTTCCCTTGACGTAAAATAAACAATTTGTTTGCACATTTTAATGCTTCATCTTTTTTCCTTTTAATGTCTTGCTTGTGTCTTTCTTTGTATGTTGTGTTGCTGTGTTTGCTTTATTTACTCTAATTTGGATTACAGTTACATAAAACAAACATAGAATAAAAACTGTGATAAGAGGAGGAATACTACTAGTAGTAACAGTACTAGTGTCAGTATCACTTTAATTATGATAATGAATAGGGGGAGTTTCAACTGAGCAAAGGGGCGGGTGCATTCTTTATTTTGTTGACTTACCAGTGTACTGGTGTTATTTCCCCAGTATCTGGGAACACATATTGCACATCAGAGTAGCTCTGTTCCTGCAGGTTTACTGGAAAACATGCACATTCATAATTTTCTTTTTTGTGTGATTGTGTGCCTTTTCAGTCCAGGTCAGTTACATTACTCTTCTACTTGAATGCATTTACAAAGTTTTAGTGATTGCTTGACATTAATACATTTCTCTCCTTTTATTACAGTTTTCTCAGATGAAGATTTTATACATTTCACGTCATGTTGTACGTTCAAGGGTCCAGGTCTGAAAGATATAGAATATATTATAGTAAATCGTTTTAACAAGAAAGTAATGATGCAGTACAACAGCACAAGAGGCAACTGGAAAGGATTCACTCCCTTTGCAATTGAAAAAGCAAGCAATTGGAGCCGTGATCCCTATGATGCACGACTGAGAGCGTTTGAAATAAAGATATTTTGTGAAGACAACATAGATCCCGTCCAACAATTAGGTAAGAGCATTTTTTTTTCTTAATATTACTTGATGTACTAAATGGATTTCGGTGTGCTGTGGACAGACTCTTTTCACAGCAGACAAAGTGTCACATGTCAAAGCAGGAAAAGCAGAGTTACTGTCAGGACCCTCATGTTGTGCATGCTCACTCGCTGACATGGCCTACTATGACACTTAATAGAGCCATTGTTTAATATTATTTACACCTTTTCTTCCTGCTTAGATGAGTCAAAATGTCTGCCATGAAAAGGGTCTGTTTCATGTGTGTCTTAGAGTATTCAGAATACAACACTACCAGGATATTTTGCCCATGAACACTATTATATGAGAGAACCAAGGAGTTAGAGTAATTTTAATAGCCCTTTTTACATAGATTGTGCTATAAGGCAGCAACAAAGTCCCTTCTTTATGCTGCCTTTGCATTTTTACACAGAACCAATCAACGGTGGCATCGTGTCGTTCCAGTGTGTGATTTTAAACAGTGCGCAGGCATTGCAGAAGCAAAAGAGCCATGACGAGCGTGACATGTAACACAACGTCAGCCTCTAGTGTGACAAATAACACACGCATCTCTTTATCGCTTTATAAACAATAACAACTGCAAAACCATGGCAATATGTTGGATGGTGGTTGATCTCATCCTCTGCTCAGATGTTAAGGAGCTCCCGGGCCTCATTGATTTCCCAATTTGCAGATATTTTTGGCTGCTGTACTCCTTCTTTGAGTTAGCTGCTAATTGCTATTAGCTACTTTTTAAATCTCAAATTACACCACTCGTGTGGCCCATGATCCCGTCCCACTGGCGGTCCCTTTTATACAGATATTACTACCTCCGATGCTGGTTTAAAGGCGAGACAACTATGTTCCCCCACTCCATGACTGTACCTTTTCTACAGAACAACGAGGCAGCATAACTGCACACATAAAAAAAAGGTTCACAAATGTGTTTCTGAAGAACACGTCTTGTTTTTAATTAAATGTAAATGTCAAAATCCACAACTATTCAGATGTCTCCTTCTGTTTCAGCCAGACACAAACAAGTACAGTAGATTCAAGGTTATGATTTGTGTGATTCAATAGTGTTACATTTGCACAGTCAGCAATTTTTGTGGAGAGATTCATTTATACTTAATTCATGAAAAACGATATTTAGACTGATCTGACTCAATAATTCACAACATAATCATCTGTGATACATGACAGTATACAGTACAGGCCAAAAGTTTGGACACACCTTCTCATTCAATGCGTTTTCTTTATTTTCATGACTATTTACATTGTAGATTCTCACTGAAGGCATCAAAACTATGAATGAACACATGTGGAGTTATGTACTTAACAAAAAAGGTGAAATAACTGAAAACATGTTTTATATTCTAGTTTCTTCAAAATAGCCACCCTTTGCTCTGATTACTGCTTTGCACACTCTTGGCATTCTCTCCATGAGCTTCAAGAGGTAGTCACCTGAAATGGTTTCCACTTCACAGGTGTGCCTTATCAGGGTTAATTAGTGGAATTTCTTGCTTTATCAATGGGGTTGGGACCATCAGTTGTGTTGTGCAGAAGTCAGGTTAATACACAGCCGACAGCCCTATTGGACAACTGTTAAAATTCATATTATGGCAAGAACCAATCAGCTAACTAAAGAAAAACGAGTGGCCATCATTACTTTAAGAAATGAAGGTCAGTCAGTCCGGAAAATTGCAAAAACTTTAAATGTGTCCCCAAGTGGAGTCGCAAAAACCATCAAGCGCTACAACGAAACTGGCACACATGAGGACCGACCCAGGAAAGGAAGACCAAGAGTCACCTCTGCTTCTGAGGATAAGTTCATCCGAGTCACCAGCCTCAGAAATCGCAAGTTAACAGCAGCTCAGATCAGAGACCAGATGAATGCCACACAGAGTTCTAGCAGCAGACCCATCTCTAGAACAACTGTTAAGAGGAGACTGCGCCAATCAGGCCTTCATGGTCAAATAGCTGCTAGGAAACCACTGCTAAGGAGAGGCAACAAGCAGAAGAGATTTGTTTGGGCCAAGAAACACAAGGAATGGACATTAGACCAGTGGAAATCTGTGCTTTGGTCTGATGAGTCCAAATTTGAGATCTTTGGTTCCAACCGCCGTGTCTTTGTGAGACGCAGAAAAGGTGAACGGATGGATTCCACATGCCTGGTTCCCACTGTGAAGCATGGAGGAGGAGGTGTGATGGTGTGGGGGTGTTTTGCTGGTGACACTGTTGGGGATTTATTCAAAATTGAAGGCACACTGAACCAGCATGGCTACCACAGCATCCTGCAGCGACATGCCATCCCATCCGGTTTGCGTTTAGTTGGACGATCATTTATTTTTCAACAGGACAATGACCCCAAACACACCTCCAGGCTGTGTAAGGGCTATTTGACCAAGAAGGAGAGTGATGGAGTGCTGCGGCAGATGACCTGGCCTCCACAGTCACCGGACCTGAACCCAATCGAGATGGTTTGGGGTGAGCTGGACCGCAGAGTGAAGGCAAAGGGGCCAACAAGTGCTAAACACCTCTGGGAACTCCTTCAAGACTGTTGGAAAACCATTTCAGGTGACTACCTCTTGAAGCTCATGGAGAGAATGCCAAGAGTGTGCAAAGCAGTAATCAGAGCAAAGGGTGGCTATTTTGAAGAAACTAGAATATAAAACATGTTTTCAGTTATTTCACCTTTTTTTGTTAAGTACATAACTCCACATGTGTTCATTCATAGTTTTGATGCCTTCAGTGAGAATCTACAATGTAAATAGTCATGAAAATAAAGAAAACGCATTGAATGAGAAGGTGTGTCCAAACTTTTGGCCTGTACTGTATATATCTGACAGAAATAATTTGCTATCTAGAAACAAAAAATTATTATGTAAATTGTTAACTTGTTTCTCAGCTAATCTCACCTCTGCACCCACCATCAAGATAAATTTAGTGAAGCACCCGTCCATGCTTGTGTGCAGTGCCTACAACTTTTATCCAAAACAAATCCGAATGACGTGGTTGCGGAACGGAGAGGAAGTGACCTCAGCTGTCAGTTTTTCTGAAGTGATGTCTGTTGGGGATTGGTACTATCAAGTTCATTCCTACCTGGTGCACACCCCGACTCGAGGAGAAAGAATGACCTGCATGGTCGAACACCTCACCCTCTCTGAACCAGTGCTTCAGGTCTGGGGTAAGTGAGCCACTGTGAAGCAAACTGTACAAAGGCTGAGAAAATAAATGAATAAATGTATAAATGAAAGTGTCTTTCTGTCCACCATTTTAGACCCTTCCCTTCCTGTGACAGAACGGATCAAAATCGGTGTGGGAGTGTTTGCTCTGATGCTTGGTTTTGTTATTCTGAGCTCTGGATTCATCTACTACAAGAAAAAGTCTGCCGCACACTTTACTTTTTGCCAAGGTGAGGGCATTAGTTATGAAGTTAATTGACTGTAAATGTGATTAATTTTGGTATAGCGTTATACATTTGCAGCTGCCATAAATAGTTGTTCTTAACCTCATGTTAACAGGACGAGTGTCCATTTCTGTGGAAGACCTCCCTGCAGCTGAAGCTACGTAGCAGTACTGTTGGGACATACCATCCAAGGTGACCTGAATATGGCACTGAAAAATTATGGTGGACAGTTGCAATTCTGTTTTAGTTCAGCCATTCTTGTCATGGTTGGGATGATGGGCAGCGCTTTGCAGCTTGTGCATAAAGACCACTGAACAGTGTAAATCAGATGGCACACATATGTTTATGTTAGCAGCAGCAACAGCTAAAACCAAATGCACTATGTGTGGTGGTGGTTTTATTCCTGCTTGCAGTGTGGTAGTGGACACTAGCTAGTGAAAGCCAGCAACAGCATGAGCAGTAATGTCTTAAAACCTGGGTTGGCATCAGGGACATTGCACTTAGTTGGTTTCAGTCTTATCTTTTAGAGAGAACCTTTGCGGTCACCATAGGTAATCACTCCTCATCTACAGCTCATGTTACCTGTGGTGTACCGCAGGGTTCAATTTTAGATCCTATTTTATTCTCTATTCATATGCGCCCACTTGGTCAGATTATTCAACGCCATCTCTTTTCACTGCTACGTGGATGACACACAGATATACCTCCCGCTGAGACCTGGTGACCCCAAATGCCTAGCTGCTGTTGTTGACTGTATCCGTGATATTAACTGTTGGATGGCACAATATTTTCTACAACTCAACAACTCAAAATCTGAAATCCTCCTGTTCAGTTCCCCTAACTCCATCAGCCTCATCAAAAATTGTATCAGTCCCCTATCCTCAAACATTAAGCCCACTACCAGAAACCTTGGAGTAATTTTTGATTCAGACTTAAGCTTTCCGCCCCATATCAAAAAAGTTGTACAGTCCTGTTTACATCAGTTAAGAACCATCTCTAAAATCAAACCAATGCTCACTCAGTCATTCATGCGTTCATTTTCCCCCTCAGGTGGGGCCCTTCTGGTCGTTCCAAAGTCAAGGCTTAAAACTAAATGCGACTGAGCTTTTGCCATCAGGGCCCCTCGGCTTTGGAACGACCTGCCTGAGGAGATAAAACTAGCAGAATCAGTATCTTCTTTTAAGTCACTTCTTAAAATGCATTTTTATAGACTTGCTTTTATGTGATGTCGTCTCTCTACTTTTATTATTTATTTTTATTCTTGTTTTTATTTGTTTTATTTATTTTATTGTTTTTATGGTTTCATTGGTATTTACTGTTGTTTTCCCTGCTGTTGCTACTCTGTCTGCCTTTGCTATATTTTCTGTTGTTACCGTACTGTCTGCTATGATTTCTTTAAATGCTGCTGCTGTTTTTGTCTTCTTCTATTTTTTGAATTATTGTTGATCATTCTGGTTTTGCTTTGTTTGTCAAAGCACTTTGTAAACGCTGTTTTTAAAAGGTACTATATAAATATTAAATATTATTATTATTATTATATATTATTATAACAAGTATGGAAATAGTAAAACTAACATGTATTCATTGCTGTATGTTAGCGTTCTGAACTGTATGAACAGTCACAAAATAAAGAAGGTCTGAAAACAACTTATGTTCAGATGTTCTTCGTAGTGTTAAACATAAGAGCTGACTTACTCATTTTAACCATGGTGAGTGGAACATGAAAGGTTGCAGTTTAATTCAAGGCCTGCATGGTTACAGCTACATGATGACACAATTATTCATTCCACCTTGGGGAACAAAGTTAAATATTATAAATTTACAAAAAAGCCTTAATTTGCACATTGTGCATAATACTACTACTACTACTACTACTACTAATACTAATAATAATTGATTTAAACCACAGAGACGCTAGAAGTCATCATCTACCCCAGAGATGGAGTGGTTATAGAGGAAGAGAATACTCTCATTTGCTTCGTCAACCATTTCTTCATTTCTTCCTTCCCATCATCAACATAAAGTGGACCAGGAATGATACAGAAATAAAAGTGGAAGATCCTTTCATCAAATGCATACCCAATCCTGATGGGACGTTTTATGTGCTGTCCACACTGGCCTTTATCCCAAAGGACAGAGGCATCTACGGCTGCACTGTGGAACATGCATCACAGGAGCCTCAGACCAAGTTTTGGGGTGAGAATAAAGATGCTTAATATTGCTAATTTTCAGTCAATATTTTATTAATATAAGATTCAGAGTATTTTGGATTCGCCAGTCAAAAAGACTAACCTCATGTCTCCTGTGTTCTCCAGAGGTGGATACAAGTGTTGGCACAACGGAGACCAGTGTTGGTTCGATCGTCTACTTTGGACTTGCAACAAGTTTTGGACTTGTTGGTGTTGCTACAGGGACATTCTTCTTTGTTAAAGGAAGACAGATTGAGTCAAGCTGAAGAAAACCTTTAATTTACTGTTTTTATACTGTGTTCTACAATTAAGCAATGGAAAGGGATTTTAACCTTTAAGCACTAATACATTAATTTCATTTTCTCATAATGGCACACCTTAGGGGTTTTTTTGCACAGAATATGAAAAACAATTTCTTTTCTACTGTTTTAGGGAAATTTATCAACTGCTTGTTATGACATAGTAGTTTCACTTCCTGCTGTTAGACAGGCAGCTTGAAACAAATAAGACACATTGTCAGTGGTTAGGATGGATTCACTGGAGCAAAAAAAAAAAAGAAGTGTGTTTTTCAGAAAATTAAACTCAAACAAAAACAAGCAAATGTGGATGAACTTGGTCTTTGTTTGCTGAACAAAGTTATCATTCACAAGCCATGTAGAGTTCCCCAGATGCATTTTTACAGAAGCAAAACAGTTCCTGTTGGCAACATCATTACCACAAGATGATCATTTAAGTTTCAAGCAAAGTTTTAAAGCACACAATACTTGTTTGTGTATAGTCTTGTGTTAGCATTATCACTGTTTTCCTTTATACATAGATTAAATGTGACATTTGAAGATCACCTAAACCCACAACTCGTGCTCTATTCCAAGGATTCAACGTTTTTAATAATATAAATGAGACAGTAATTGTTGAAGTGAGCATACAGCAGGAGTTTTCACACAGCCAAGGGGCGGTGCCATTCTTTGTCATTGTGCTGGCATTTCAGCGTAGCAGTGTTTATTTCCTTGTACCTGTAAATTTGTGAATACAGTGTGATAGAGAGACTTTGCTTTGTAGAGTTTTATTCAAGTAAAATCATGCGCATTCATAATTTTCTTTTTTTGGTGTGCTTTTCTCTTCTCTAATTTGCAGATAAACATTGTATGTTAGCTGCAGCAAGAGCTTAAATTGTATAACATACAGTATGTGTAAAGGCTGGGGTGGTGTAATTACTGCTTTTTGTCTAAATGTGTTAAGATTGAGCAGGGCTCAGTTTAGCTTGTGCTGTAGTTAGGAAGGAAACTTGGGTGAAAATGGGATGATGAAAGAAACCCTCATTAGAGCCTGTTATGAGTCACAGAAGCTGGTGGAACAGCAGCTGGTCCAGGTGTGATGTCAGAGCTTCGGCTCCCTGTGGTGCAAGTGCTGTGAAGGTGGATTGTATGCATCCATCTAAACTTCCAATAATTTAACTAATATACAGTCATGTCAACCCTTTTTACTGTATGAACACTATCATGAAATAAAGCATTTGCTCAAATATGTTTGTGTAAAGTAATTAGTGTTGAATGACAAAGATTTTATAAGTCAGTTAGTTGGTCCACAACTTTAATGTTAATGTTTAATGTATCTCGAAAGGATGGCAGAGGAGATACCTGAGCACCAATACAACTGGGCTGGACAGCCACAAATACAGGTTCACAGGCTGAGATCAGTGTAAAAAAATTGTCAATTTATCTAGAACACCCGTGCACAAAAAGAAGGGTGCTCAAAGTGTAAAAGCCTGATCCATGGCAGCAGTTTTTAGGCCTGACCCCGATTAAAAACCCAAATTTCTACTATAAAACAAGTATATTATAAATGATAGGTTTCTGATTTATCACAAGCTATGGTTGATGTGTTTCCTCACACCAGTTCTCCTTTTTCTCTTCTGTATTTTAATAGTCTGTCATATCTTGCACGACAGGTTTGGCAGAGTGGGCTGTGCCCCTCATTGCGTATAGCGCTCACAGCAGTCCACGGCGATGTGGCGCGCAAATGATGCTCCTTACTGCATGTGACGCACATCTTTCCCACTGCTGGGGAGGCAGAAGGAAACACCGCCAACTGAGTTGCCTTGCAGCCCCTCTTGCTCTCTCTTCTCTGTGGTTCAAGAACCCGACGCGATTCAAGTCAGGGGCAATAATGAGATATTACAGCTCGATCGACCCAAACGCAGTGGGTCAGGTCAGGCCCATCCAAGCTCGGACAGAGAGCCAGGGCTCTAGATGGCTGTAGATGTGAGTCCTGTTAGCCCATTCCTGTGTCAAAAACAAAACATAGAGCTTGCCTTCTTAAAAAAATTGAACCGCAAATTGAGGAATGATTGAGGTGACTCATTAGTGTGTCTTGTCTGAAGCAAACGATTGCACTGAATGCAGTTTTGTACATTATTGCTACTGTTTCTGCATCAGCTGCTTAGTCCAGTCTGCATTTGAGCTGCTGCTGCTGCACACACTGTGGAAAATTACAGCTCAGCCTCCTGACTTGGTCGTGGGTTATACAACTCTAAAATCGCAAAAAAACGCCAGAAGATTTGGCCTTTTGCTATCAATTCAAACTGTACCCCTGTTTGGTTGAAAAGGATATGAGCTAAATACTCCATTACAGAAGCTAATACACTTTCCCATGCAGACTTTGAAAAAGTGTACACCTGCAAAACAAAGAGGAAAAATAATCAACCTTGGCATAAGTGTTTTTGCCCGAACAGAAATCCTTGGTTGTTTGCATAACAAGTAGTACAGTGCCGTCTTAGTCTAAGCAGAGTGACACTCTCTCAGCTCGTCCCTCACCCTGTGAGAGCAGAAAGAATTTACATTTGCAAATATATCAGCTCCACAACCACTGTCTTTTTTATGCCCTACACAATAAAGACTCATCTATGCTCAGTCCTAAGCCTTCTCACCCCTCTACCACAAAAGGAACCAAAACCAGGAACCAAAACCATTTTGGTACACATGAGCTAATCAAGCCTATCTAATTTTATGATAACCTTAATGCCACCTTCCTGGGGTCTTTCAACATGCTTCTCGTTTTGAAGTTGCCTCTTAATCTATCCTGAGCATCTGCCTTGCCCTTTCCCATCAACAGTGGGCATACACATCTTTCTCAAATCACAGTAGGCTCGACCAAGACAAAATGAAGCAATAAAAAGTAAATGGAGAGTCTGATATAACACTTGTGGTCAATCCTTCTCTCTTATTCCTTGCTCTACTTTTCGTGATCACTTTTCCTTCCCTTCCTCTCTCTATCGCAGCAGGGCTGTACGAAGTACACTGTGCTGTCTCTATGCATAATAAATGAGATGGTTTTCCCCAAGCAACCTGAAATTCAAGTTGTACCAAAACACTCCAGAGTGGAACAGAGAGGACAAAAGGCTTATGTAACATGGAGGGAGAGTTGTTTATCAACCAAATGCATGAGGCCTGAGAAGAAAAAAAAAATCACCTGCTTTGTGCTTAAGGCTCAAGACGATGTGACTAAAAATATTGTGTCTTGCTGTGAGAATAAATGATTCTTTAAGTGCAGTCGGTTGCATATCAGTACAGCTTCAAAATGACTTGAAACACAGTGCTTGTGTGATTGCCCACACATGAATTTATGTCTAGAACACAAATGACATCAATCAAAAATCAGCATTGCCGTGTATGTCACACCTCAGCATCCACCTGTGGGCTCTGCTTCTCCTTTGTTCTCCACAGACTGATCTCTCCTTGCTGACTTTGAATCAATCTCTGCAGGGAGTGAGATTAAACAGAGTCTGGATGGCAAAATGAAAGTTATATTTACTCTCAATTTAATTGTTCTAGTCGATATAGGAGTTGACTCACACATGTTCATCACGTCGCAGTCACCTGAACATCCCAGCAGTTCCAAAATGTGTGTTTGTGTGTGTACTGTACCTGTAGGACTTGTTTTAGGAAATGGACTTAAGCCAGCATCAACATTTAATCGTGAACCACAATGTTTTGGCAGCATTCATTCATTATCTCTGCTCGTGTTTCTCTCTTGGAGTGCTCTCTTCATAGTCTGTAGCCTCAAAAGCCTCAGTATTTCTGGGATGTGAGAATCTCATCCTCTTCTCACCTCACACAAAAATCGATCCTATCTAACACTCCCTGCACTTTAGGATCTCAGTATATTAAGTGAACCAGCGTCACAGGGTGTCAGCAGTTACACCTCAAATGGCAACTTGCTTTTCATCCTCAAAATAACATGCAAGTTTAAAGGAATGAATGACCATTTGTATATCAGTTACTCACCGTGTGTTACCCTGAATTTGTGAAGAAAATTCGTATGCCTCCATCATGATCACAGAATCCAAGAAAGGCGAACCTTCTTCATGAATTGAAGTAAATGGGGGCCGCATTTATCAACAGCAATACTCTATCAAAACACCCATTTACAAGCTCTCATGCAACTTGTGCAGTATAATCCAGGTCTCTTTCATCCGTCTTATGCTCAGTACTTCTCAAACACATCCAGAGCGCCTGGACAAACGTGTGCATTTGAACTGCTCAAACGGAGCTCATACGCATGTGCATGCTCAGGCACACTGAGGGTGCACTATTCTGAGGCGGAAGTATTTTATATTCTCCTGAGACCATGTGTCCTCATATGAGGACATCACATTTTGGGATTTCTTGACGTTTTACTTCATTCTACTTAATTTATCCTGTTGTCCTCGTTTGTGGACACTTTGTGTTCTTACTACCACTGTGCCATCTAGTGGTAGTAAGAGCACAATACACTATTCCATGTAAAAACAAGATGGCAGCCGTCTCTGCCAAGTCAGTCTGGCTACAATTGTGACCAATTTTAGCAACAGTAACACTAACCCCAAATTTCCACATACTCCATCTGTGCCGCGTTATGCAGCGCCACGGATCTGGAGCGGCGGGCCTACTGGATGCGTTTCTGGAGCGCCGTGCCACATAGCGGAGCTGCAAGCTCACACGTGAAAACTGCGAAATCACGCAATAAAAAGCACCATTCACTCCCAAAACTCCTGCAGTTTCACACCAGGTGTTTGTATCTTTGTAGAAAGGATGTGTGTCATACAAAATACTATGGTTTTCCACTTCAACTATGAGTTTCTCCTCATCCATCTTTCCTTGGACCCTAGCACTGACTGACAACTTGTACGACAGGATGTGACTTGATTTTTAAAAAACTGAGAGTTTACAATCTGTAGTCAATCCGCGCATTGTGTTCTATTTTGAAATTTACCAGATGCTGTGTGCGTTCCATTTCTGTTTTGGTGCGATCTGAGCTTCATGGCTTGATGTGCAATGTAAGCGCAGTTGCTGAAAAATAGACCTGGCGCGTCTCTCCGACAAAGGGGAGTGGCCTGGCAGTTCTGGGACGCTCCAGAGACGCTGCGCGGCGCTCGCTGTGGAAATTAAGCTAATCACTAGAATGGGAGCATATCCGCTACGCACTGCACTGCACGGTGCAGATGGAGTATGTAGAAATTGGGGGTAAGACACTATCAATAAGGAAGTACTTGTTTGAAGACAATGGGACTTTCTTATTGTCTCATTTGAGAATGCTGGGACTTAATCATCGCAGACAGTGTTTAGTTTTTTGTACTTATCAGGTCCTACTGATTCCAAATAGCTAAGAAAATTTAAAAAAGCATACCAAACAAAAGTTCGGGTCTCAGGATGATATGGTAACGTTTTAGCAAAATGCATGTGTCTGGGAAGTACTGAGCACACAGCTGGATAAATAAGACTTGGATTATATGCTGCAAGAGCTGTGTGTGAGTTTGTAAATTGATGTTTTAATGTACTTTTGCTGTTGTTAAACATGGTTCCCAGTGACTTTAATACACCTTTCTTCACCATTGTAGCCTTTTTGGATTCTCCAAGGCATACGAGAGAAACTAAATTTTCTTCACTAACTCAGTGTAACATGATGAGTAATTGATATCCAAATGGTCAGTTGTGGATGAAGTATTCCTTTAAGAACTGTGCTCTTAGCTTAATGCTATCATCAGTGTGCTTCATGCCTCGAATGACAATTCTAACATGCTGATGTTTACCATGTTCTCCATTTTAGTTAACATAT